GATACACTTATTATATTGTTTACTAAGACCTGTTACCTTTCTTGAGTCACAAACCGTCGGCTAATTCTTCACTGGCTACTACTGCACTATCTCAATACTGCCCGTTACTATTTCTAGCCTTGATGTCTGGGTACCAGTCTAGTGCTGTCGGTCTCACTGATCTTCTTCCTTTCATTTACAAGACTTACCTATCTAAATGTTAACCTTTCTTTACTTGACAAATAAAATACATTGAAATAATCAAAAAAACATCTAGTATTCAATTACTAACAAATAATATGAGTTGAAATCAAATGAATCAATAAAGTGCTAATTTTACCTACGATAGAATGAAAACTACTGTCAGCGACCATAGTATTTTGCATTTGCCCTTAAATAAAATTTCGTTTAGTGGTTTTATTACAAATTGATTGATAGAGAAATTCTATGAACTCTAAAAATATTAAACAATTTGGAACTGATTGATAACATCTGATAATAGTTAGACTTTGTAGTTTATTATTATTCAAGAGGATTGTTCAATTTATTCGGTAATCTTACAATCACACAGTGAATTATTACGCAAACATTAGTGACTTTTAGAGAGTCATTCGAGTTTTCTTTACATACTTACTATATTAGAAAATAATTGGATTGGAAAAAAGAACTACTGGTAGAAAAATATTCTTTATACAATTTGGTCCAAGAGGTAAATTGACAACTTTAAAAATGCACAAAACAAAGTGACTGTCAGTTTTGTTATTTTCAAAATCGTTGAAAAAAAATACAGTGGTTTTTTTGGAATCCGTTACAAATTTCAGTCAGTTGATTATTGGATGGAATGCTTATGGAATATAATGTGATCTACGAACGTTTAGAATAAATAATTTTGTAACGTAATAGTTTGACCAATTAGGAGAGAATGTTTTCACTATTTGTGTGATTTTTAGAACTTTTGTTTACATTGTGATTAAGCTGTCTTAATTAAAGCCATTGAAAGGAACACGCACAAGCGCATACACACTTAAATGTTCGCAGTTTTTTTTAAAAAAATCTAACTTTTATGACAAACGTCAAGGAATTTTCGATTTCAGAAATCATAAGCTATTATTGGACAGTAAGATGAAAACGAAACAGAAGAATATTATATTTTCATCCTATAAATTTTAATATTTTAGAGTTTGTCCTGAGAACTTTTGGATAATTGGCTTTTTCAGTTTAGTTTTCATTCAAAAATGCCTGGTTGTTTTAAAAAAAAGCATTCAATACTGTATTGATAGGAAGAAATAAATTGATCAGGTCACACACCTGGTGATGAATGCAGGTAAATTAATGCATACTTCAGTTATTCTACTACTACCTGATCGAATGGTAGTTATTTGTATAAACTTTTTAAGAACATTCACTCTTCCTTAATTTAATGCTTTTTTAGGATTTGAAAATTTTTTTGTCCGTTTACGTTTACTCTGTTAAAACTACACAAGGTGAGAGCTGATTGATATACCTGTGCATACATACAGTTACAATAAAAAAAATAGCATAAAATATCCTTAACGAATTAACAGCTTGATATCCATAACCCAAATAAATCTCAAAACGTTGAATTAAACATTATTGATTAAAAATATTTTCTTAATTTTCAGACAGGCTTCCAAAAATAATTGCCAAAAGGAATATCATTTATTAGTGTATAATGTAGATAGTCTTAACAATATATATATATATATATATATATATATATATATATATATAAGCAAATATACACACACCATAATCCATTTGTTTGAAGAAAGTTTTGCCATCGATGCTCTATATCATTTAAGAATATATATAATCTGGTCTATTGTTGATACTTTTTCGCATTTGCATACTATTTGGAAAGTTCTAGCTTGTGTATGTAGTAAATTAGGAGCTGTATCACCTGGATATTCCATGTTCTTCGTAAGTCATTGCGCAAGAGATGCTATGGTAAATCAATAAACTGACAGATGAGCATTGTTGTCATTCAGAAATACCACGATTTGGTAAGAATACTAGTAGTATGAGACTCAACTAATTAATTTGTAGATAATAACTTCAGCCATGATTAGCTTTTAAAGAATATCATTCATCAGCATTTATATATATATATATATATATATATATATATATATATATATATATATATATATATGAAAGTGACAGATACTTGCTGATGGCACAATGATCGTTAGAATTGTTTTATGATTGATAAAATTGGGAGAGGGGGAATGTAAAAGATGTGATGCGCGTCATCTAAGAAGTTGGTAAGTTGCTTGAAAATATTATGTAGTTGTCATTGCAACCATGACTATTACCTTTAATGGAAGGTTACATACAAATTTATTTCCTTGTAAGCATTCTAAACAAGTTTTTTGTTAGGTTCGTCACTAGGTATGCTTGAAAATATTGAGGGTTCACCTTAGTCGATAAACGAGAACGAGACAGTGAACCACCGTCGAGGTAGGCTACCCTGATCTGATGACTAACCAAAAGTCTTGATATAGCTTAGAAAGTATATTCTACAAACACCCAGCAAGCACAATGCAATCAGGCACACAAATCTCGTTTATTTATACATCATAGAAACGTCCTTGGGACAGTCACAAAAATAACACACTAAAATACACAGCAAGCAATCACAGCCAAGGATTTTCCTGGTGGGGAGTGAAATCTCAAGGTCAACTGATCTGCCGATGTGAGTTCTGGGGATCTAACATCCCCGACTCTTTTGCTTGATACGATAAGCCAAATGAGATGACATTAGTCATATGTCATTCAGTTACTGAAATAACAATCGTAACTGCTTTAACCCTGTTGTCCATACAGTACAGACATTTGGCTAACTTACATTCTGTTGAAGGAAATGAATTCAATAATTATTGATAAGTATGTAAAGATTTCATTTTAGTATTTGTAGTGGACCTGTTTAAGGTTGCACACAATAAACTGCGTACAAAACATCCCTCCTTAAGTTTATGAAGCCTGAACAACACAGTATTTCATGTATTTAACAAACAAACGTTAATACATTTGATAAGCAGTGTAAAAAAAGCGGATATAAAGCTAGACAAGTAAGAAACTTCGTCAGCATCGGTTCTCTTGGTCACTATGACTTTAAATGTCGGGATTTAGAAACCGATATGTTATGTGAGACAATTTACATAGTTTCTTCGTCAGTATAACCAAATTCATACAGTAAGGTGACTTCTAACTCACTAGGTGACAGTCATCCAAATTTCGTTTTCAGTTAGTAATACATCACTATTTCATTCTTTTTCATTAGGCGCCTAATATTTACTGTTCTTTTAATTCAAGATAAATTTTTATGACATTCATGTATGATTATAACTGTATTCGAGAAAAACTATAACATAGTAAACGGTCATTATTTTTAATAATGAAAAAAGAACCATGTTTCAGATTTTATCCCTGTAGTAAAAATAGTCATTTTCTCATGGTATAAGTCGTAGATCTTAAAGGGTTGCAAAATATCAAGTACAATAGAATGAGACCTTGAAGAGCTGTATCACCAAACTTTGTTGTCACATATATAAATAGTAGCAGTGGAAATAAAATTTCTGTGCTTTTCTTTACAATAACAGCAATAAGTCAAAAATAACAATTATTTGTATAATATCGACCTAGTTCAAACATGTTGAAAATGAGATGGTTATCAAAAGTGATATTGTTCGGTCATCGAGAATTGACGGAAATTGATGGGACACATAATTTTACCATCGGAGATCAGCTCGTTGATTTTAATGGTTAAGCGTTCTCCATGAGACCCGAAATTTTCGAGTGCTATGTTGATAATTGCTCAATCTGTCAGTCAGAATTTCGTTTACAATTCTTCTACCCCCGGTTTGTTGTTCCTTCTATTGTCAAGCGTCCTTGGTCTTGAACAGTGATACGACGCGATGAGTATTTAGCTAGAGTAAGCTTCACTCCTATCAGTGCACCGATACCCTTCCATCCATAGCCTTGAGTGCTAACGAGATGACTGTAGCCGAGTTCTCATTATTATATTACTCTCCTTCTTTAACCTAGCATCTCAAGTACCCATTAGATTGTGAACGAGACATGCCGTTCTACATCACATCATAAAATAGAAAGTTATAGCTATTCACAAACAAGCCAAGAATGGCAAGTAAATCGGGGAAACCGTGAATAACCAGTTAGTAATAAATTAGAGAATAATAAGTCATGTAGTAACAGTCAATGGGTCAAGTGAAAGTTTATCATAAGCAGAACAGAGTAATATTATAATACAGTCATCTGCTAAGCATACAAGGAAAATATCAATAATAGTAATCAGTAAGTTGATTCCAAGAGTTACTGCTTTCTATGAGTTTTGCTCCACCACAACACTGGGTTTGGTCATCGTAGGGTTGTGAGTACAGAATTCGATAGAATCTTATATTAGGACAAAAAGTCTGTCCAATTACTTTACAGTGATATTTCAACAAACGATTCCAAAGCTAAGCGTTTAACTGCTGTTGAATATCCATTTTTACCAGTAATATCGCTGTTTTTCAAAATGAATCGATTTATTGAAACCACAGCGAACTCTTATCCACTATCTAGTCTATCGCAGAGTATAATATACATTAAATTTTCTATCTGTTGATATATTTCGTTCAAATCGAAGATAATAACAGTGAAAACTTTACTTCACGAAGATATTGATTTTTTTCATAAATATTCATGTTAATGAAACTTTTACTATACGGGTACTTAATGGTACAACCGCTTGCATATAACTGATGTTATTACAAAGGCATCTTGTGTAATGAATAATGGTATCAATTTTATTTGATAAACTTTACTCTGTCTAAATCACCGTTTACAGGGTTACGCTCAGTGGTAGGTTGACTTACCTTCTGCTTTAATATATAGCACACTAAATGCGTTGATGATGATGATGATGATGATTTTTTTCGTTACTTTCTTGTTTAATTATTAAATTGCTTTATATTTTGTATAAATTTGTCTATATATAGCTGCGTACTATGGAGATATAGCATTAGATGAACATGAATCTCAGATGATGTTGTCTAAAGGCATGTTACTGTCTGACGATCCATTACAAATATGGAATTCAGAGGATAATGAAGAAATGAACAATAAACGGAATAAACATTCTAAAATGCCTGTGTCAGCATCGTTGGATGATGTAAAAAGCAAAACGAAGTAAGTCTAATCATACTGTTAAAATTAAATTTTCGATTAGTATATGTTGTTCAGTTTCTATGATAAATGTATTGGTCTGCTTTATAAACATAATGTCATGATTGTTATAAGAAGCCTATGAGTTGGTGAATTGAGTCATTTGTTCACACTGTTTGTGGTTTTGATACTCAACGACTTGAAGATCTAGCTCATATTCAACCAGACATATAATCGAAACATGTCGTAGGATTAGTATTACAATATCCTTACTGTTTCTCTTATGAAAAATCTATTATGAGGATTATTTCAACAAGCTTAAGCATTAGAATAATTCTAACTTTGAATCTACTGTAGTATTTGTTGATTCCGTTTTAATATGATTGCTGCTATCAAAACGAATTCGTCTTCCTCGACTAATGAACTTTGTGCTTTTCATCATAAATTCCATTATGATGATTATTCAACAATTCTTCATTTCCACCTAGAATAAAATAACAATCACATGGAAATTTTGAATGCTTAATGTTTTATTTCAATTATATTATAGTCTTTAGTCTAGCGTATTCTGCTTTTGTAATAACTGAAATTAATAGAGCAACTGACTGATTATATCGAGCATATTGATGAGAAAAGTGAATTGCATCGAATAGTAATGGTTCCCATTTTGTCTGACTGCTAATCTATCTTTCTAAACCAGTTATCGCAAAACAGTTCAACTTACACAAGTTGTTGACAGTGAGTTCATACAATGAAACTCCACTGTTTTCACCATATAGCAAATAAAAATAAGTATAATCAGTCTAAGCATGACTTAGTTGAAATATACAAGATTACCATCTATTTGGTTTCAAATTCTACCTCTATTAATTTCAATCAACTTAATTTATCTATCTAGCAAATCAACATTCGATATAATTCAAATGTCCGCTTAAAACACAATAACTTTGTTTACACATCTCTCTTCATGTCTAAATTAATTGAAAATCTTTCAATGTAAAAGGTGAAAATTGTTCTCTGTGGTCGATATTGTTTTCAAGTATCAAAAAACAATTACATTATAGACCTAGAATCTGTTGATCTATACTATATTTCTCATTTAACATTGAAAATTTGAATTTCAGTGAAGGGGTCTTTTTTTCAACAACTTTCTAATCAAGCCAATTCTATCAAATAGTTGAAATTGTCAGTAATATAATCCCATAAAGAAATGTGAACAATGAACCAACATAAAGACAAATTAAAAAAAAAAAGATATTAATATTAGATTAAATTGTGTGGAGAATAGCAAGCAATCAGATACTGTGCAACTTTTATAGCAAGTGCATCAGTGAAAAGAAGTGTAGGCTTGATAAACAAAAAAAAACAGTAAGATAAGAAAAAGAAATTTTTTTACAATAATTTAAGTAATGCCAGGAACAAATAGACATAAAATTAGAAATGTTCGGGAAATAATAATTATAAGGGGGACAGTTTCATTGATGAAATCAATTCAATAATAATAAAATAAACTAACAATAATATTTAAACGTTGTGACAAAGACGATGATAAAAGATGTACTTCTTTTGTATGCATTTTAAACTTTATTTTTATGGATAGTATGAAGTTCTTCTGTTTTTTAATTAGTGAATTGTGAAGAAATTGTAGAAAGTTTGCTTGAATTCTAAAAAACAAACTTAAAATCAACCTATGGATCAGTAAAGTGATCAAAGTCGATCAAAATGTTCAAAGATAGGGATGCTAATCGCTTCCTTTTAACTTTTGTAAAACAATAATAGAATATGTTCTATCAGTTTTGAAAGCAAACACTGACTATTGCCTATCTCTCTGCCTTACTCCACAACAGCAGATGAAGTGGTAAATGCATATTAAGGTAATCACATGTGAGAGCCTGTTCTTTGCGGATACAAAAATGAATTTCTACTAACAAAAGTTAATTGCGGTTCTATTGTAGAAAATGTTCTTTAATTTATCAGGGATAACTGAACCCTGAATGAATCAGAAGTCTGATGATCTTTAAATAGTAGATTCATTTAGAATTTCTGAATTCCTTGTCGTAAAATCCTTTCTGTGAAAAGAAGCTTGGAAGAAACGTTTTCATTTAACTTATTTTTGTCGGGAAATCGAGTTCTTCTTCAACGTATTCTGCACTACAGATCCTATGAATTCGGTAACTTAAACATTGATTGAGATCCCTCTTTCAACTCATGCTAACCTGTTTTATTGAGAGAGATTTCTTGAGTGGGTTGCATTCAATCCCATATGATTGAGCAGTGACGGCAGTAAAGCCATTTAGTCTGATTATCCACTAGTAGTTCCCTTATATTGCTTGTAGGGCCAGTGACTTATCTGTCAATTAAAACGTCGACCAATGAACAACAGCCGAGACCTTAACTATTACTGCTCCTCCAGCACTCTCTATCCTAGCGACTAGATGGTAGATGAAAATAGATAGCAGTTCGGTTTACGATTATGCTCAACTTAATTACAACATAGATGTTATGCTGTAATATACTTGAAATGTCTGACTACACAGCAATACAGTCAAGGGAATACAATATCTAAATGGATTAGTCATATGCGGCACAAGACTAAAGTCACAGGGAACAGGCTAACTAATAATTATTTCCAAATGATAATACATGTGGCAAAAATTTGTTGATGAACTGAAAGTTTAGAAATAGACGGATATAAGTGTGGAACAATATAAGTATCTACTTATCATACAATAAAACTATCAATAATAATAATTATAATAATCAAACTAGTTCTGCTTCTACATTCCTTGTCCCACTTCAGAATCCAGCTTTGGAATTTGGTCAGATGGCTATTTTATGTCTGTTTCAAGAATCACTCACACCACCTTGTCAAAAGTACATCAAGAAATTAGAAAGAATAACTCAGCAGATTTTCTGACATGAAATCTAGTGAAGGATGATAGCAGGTGTTGCAAAAAAAATGTAGAATGTCCATTGATTTCAAGATTTCAATTAGTTTTTCACCCGATATTCTGTCCAAAAAAAAACTAACAGTTTCTAACTGAGATTTATAATAAACGGCTAGAAGCAGAAAAGTTTTTTTCCACAATCTACTTTGAATTCCCCTAAAAATTCACAATCATTAAACATGACAATTAAATTTTATTGGTAATTTGAATGTATTTTCTCCATATTTTTTTGAAAAGAGGAAACGTATACCAAGATAATGACCGATTTCACGTCATAATACAAAATATATGGCATTTAATTCCACAGGCTCCTTGTTCTCATATATTTTGACTGTAGAGAATTCTGAGTGTGTGTGTGTGTGTGTGTGTATGAGAGACAGAGAGAGAAAGAGAGCGTTTATACTACTTCCCTGGGCTTACAGATGAACATGTTTAAAAGTGGTCGTTTCCATAGTTTTTGTTTTCTTCATTATAAGAACTAACCTGCATTGACATTCTGTCTCTTAATCATTTCTAACTGACTTTATCTTATTCAGAAGAGTAATAATTTTACAATAAGAAACGATCCCATCACAGAACCATATAGCTAGCTAGCTACCTAGGAAAAATGCATTGCATACAGTATTTCTGAAAATATATATATATATATTAAAAATTATTAAGATTTGTATCTATTTAAGCTATGAGTTTATCAAATGGTTTTGCTTTCATTGACATTCATGTGTATAAATATTTTATCGTTAATAGTTTGTACAGGATATCGTGTTGCACTAAATAAGAATTACTAGCTACTATTAAGTCTGTTGATATTGTTGTATGTTAGTGTGATAGTCATTTTGATACAGTTTGATAGATAATAACAACAGCAGCTTACATGTATTTTTATTCAAAGTTGATTATCATTTCAAACAGCTGTTGTGTTTTACCATATAAGTAAAACAAGAGAAATATTTAAATTCTTTGTATAATCTAAAGAAATTTATGATTAAATAACAAAAAGTTCTTGGTTGTATATTTTACACACTTAAATAAAGACCAGTGTTAGTAATATTTTTATGAAGACTAAGTTGTTTTTAGAATCTTGTCGATTGCAATTTAAAAGTAAGTGGATTACTATTTACACTCATAATATGCATTTAATATGGCGCAACGTGTCAATGCTGTTGTTGAGAAAATTTATCGAGACAGTGCTAACTTTACATGTTTGTGTGTTGCTCATTATTTATGCAGCCATCGCAAATCACAGATTCTTTTCGAACCGTTGTTCTTGGTTGCCCACACTAAATAGAACATACTCGGTGAATAATTCTAGTGTTTGAGTCACAAGAGATCACGAGGAACATCCGAACGTAATCCAAAATCAATTTTAGCCCACCAACTAAGCCACAGCCCATCAATTGCTATAACCTCAACAATCAGTTGTTTATGATAAGAGTGCTTGAAGTACCATGTAAACTGATCTACTGGAGTGACATGTTAACCAATAGGTAAATAAGCCACAGGTCCCTAGAGCTCTTACTACCACTCAACATAGGGATAATGACGGTATATGAATACCCAACCCAAAAGTTATTTTTACACCGGCATTCTCATAAAAATGCAAGAGAAACTAAAGCGTACACGTTATCTTGACAATCGTCATTATAGGACTCGTATCCGACCCGAAGCTTAATCTTTATTAATAATTAATAACATGGATAATATAATTTTAATGTCCCAATGTGTAGGAAAGTCGAATTTTCTACTCACTGAAACAGTAAAAATATAAAATTTTTATTATCAGTTGTCTTCCCAATCCTTGATTTATCTTAACTTATTATTTCGAAACTTGGTGACTATATCTACAAAATTATTTGTTAATAATTATTCTACAGATAACTTTGTAATTGTGTTTAGCAATTACTTCAGTCCTAATCATTTAAAAACGAAATTAACACATTTAACTAGATCAATATTATTTCAAAACCAGTTTTTATCGTAAACTGACTATTAGAGCAGAACCGCTAAAAGGCACACAGCCAAAACAGCTTTGTTATTTAGGTTTTGAACCCACCAATTGGTACCCGCAAACTCATG